TCTTGGTTATTGTTATCTGTAATAGCTAAAATGAAAGTAAAAGAGAATGCTGTGTTTGGCCTTAAAGCTTAATCAAGCTCAGATATGGGTCTGTCTCAGCTGGGCCAGTAGCTTCAAAGCTACTCCTCTCCAAAAAAAAAATTAAACCAGGGCAACAGAAAGTACCTCTGAGACCTGTAATTACCGAAAAGATACTCAATGTGGAGGAAGGGCAAAACCAAGTAACTATTAAAACCAGTGGGTTTGGACAGGAGAATGTTTGAAGAAATAAAAGAAATTTTTAAAATATATAAATAAATAAAACTAGCAGGTACAGTGTAACGGCAAACAATGATTTGAGAAGCCTTATCAAATTTGCTGTCCCTCTTAGGTCTTGCAGCAAAACAGTCAAAAGACTAATCCCAGAAGCATGGAAATCTTTAGATAGTTATTCAAAGATGAAATAATATGAAAATGGATAGGGTTAAAAGAAAGGTCTTTACAACAGTGTCAAAGGTGAAGTAGAACGAAGGGAGCCTCTGCCAGTCCCCCAACATTAACGGGACCCACATCAGTTTTCTGCAGTTGTCCCAAACTGCAGAAATGTAAGAAAAATAAGAAAATTTAAAAGGCAAAGATTATAATGAGAAAGTTGACATTGTTTGAGGCAATGTTGATGCAAGTTAGGATAAAGATTTACAAAAGGGCCTGAGTACCTTCATTCAACTCCTTGCTTGGAACTTTTTTTTCACCAGAGAAAGTAAAATGGTCTAGTGGTAAGAGAAAAAATATCCCCGGAACCAGTACATACAAATCTAAGGGTTGAAAGGACTATGAAATTTGAGATATTTAAACAGGCTTTATGTAACATTATCTGTGACTTTCTTACTTAGATGTCTTACGAAAATGGATATTGTATCTGACTAGGGGATGTTTCCCCTACCTAATACTATAAAACTGAAGGCATGTAAATCTGCCCTTTAAGAAATGTTTATTGGACACACTAATAGGAACTAGGAAGATTGCCTGAGGCCACAGAATACAGGATAGAAACCGGAGTATTGGTTGGGAGAAATACTTCACTTGATAATCCTTTGTGAAGCATTTATTGGGGCTTATGGCAAAAGCCTGTAAACACTTTCCAAGGACAACTACTAAGATTTTGGACCACAGAATTTCTGTTTGATGGGTATTTACTGCCTTGCTATGAAATGTTAACTGAAGCTACCCCTATACTAATAAAAATGGTGGTGGTCAAAAGAGCTCCATGATAAAACAAGTGGTTCATATAGGATCTTGCTACCTGAGGAATGCAAGGAGAAGATATGAGTAGGGAGCTTCTTTTTCCCCTAGGATTGATTCTAACTATGTAAGGAGCTGCTAGATTTTACAGTGTCTAATAAACAGCTGTCATCTGACAAGAGCTGCTTGGCTTATGGATGACAGTTCTAAGGTGAAAAGGGGACATCCTGTTTGGAAGATGCTGCTTTGGTTAAAAAGAATCAAGTAAATCTTTTTCTTTTGAGTTACTTATTGCCTAGAGCAATTGGGTAAAGTACTTTTTGTGAGAAAAATTTATGATTCTAAGTAGTCCAAAATTTAGAGACTATTCCTGAGTATTCTGATTTTATGGCAATATAGTTATTTGCAACAGTTTAGTAAAACCCTTTCTTTTGAAATGGAATGCACTTGGAGACACTGGTTTTATTACTAAGGCTTTGACTAGAATAACGTATTTTAGGTAAAGTTCCAGCAAAGCTAACTTGAAACAAGCCTATATGGCCAATTTGTTATTGTTGCTGCACTTTTACAAATAATCAGGCCAGGTTATAATAAGCCTAAAACTTATTTTGCACACAAACTGATCTTGCTACACTTTCTCTTCAGTAGAAAAGAGGGCTAGAGAAAAAACATGTTTCAAAGAAAAACCATAACAAGCTGTATTTAGATTCCAGTCTTGACTTTGCTTTTTTTTTTTTTCACTTTCCTCTCTTTTTCTTCATTTATTTAATTCCACTGGTTTTGAGTACATATTGAATCATAAATTATTTCTTAATTACAATAATTACCTTATATTATTCTGTTCTGACAGCTATAATGAACTGCATGAGACTTGGTAATTCATAAAGAAAAGAAATTTAATCAACTCACAGTTAAACTGTGGGGGGGTGTGGGAGGGGGAAGGAGAAACCTCAGTAACATTGTGATCATGCTGGAAGGAGAAGCAAACACAACCTACTTCACGTGGTGGCAGGAAGAAGTGCCAAGCAAAAGGGGGAAATGCCCCAATAATAATAATAATAATAATAATAAACAGGTATCATGGTAACTCACTATCATGAGAATAGCAAGGGGAAAACTGCCCCCATGATTCAATTATCTCCCACTGTGTTCCTCCGATGACATACGGGAACTACAATTCAAGATGAGATTTTGGTGGGGACCCAGCCAAACCATATCACCTCTAAAGATGAACCAGGTTATAATTTTCTACATAATGTTTTTAGTTGGCATCCTAATAGGGTCATTTTTCTGTTCGGATGCACATATTCTCTTTTGATTGTCAAATTATTAATATTATTTATTGCTTATTGTTTTACTTCTGAGAAAACCAGAATCATGATATTCTGAAGACTAGAGATGATTTGCCAAAGCCTGAAAATCTCCCTCATTTGGAATCCCACTGGGTCTCATCTGTTTTTCACTGCCAATTCCCTGTTGCTAAAACTATACAAGCAACCTCCCTCTAGGCCAAGGGAGTGACAGAAGAGGTGGGCATATGACATTACAAGAGTCAATTTTGAGGGACAGAATTAGTTCAGATGCTTCAAGTAAGATTGGCACATAGATGCCTAAACAGCTGGTAAAATACATGTGACACCTTTCCATCCGTTCAGACCATACAGAATTTCCTGCTTCCCATAGAATTAAAAGAAAATTACTGAGAGGATATCCAGATACCTAGTGATGAAGGCTCCTGGGTATAGTGCTCCTAGTTATGAGACTTATGCAGATAGACATATAAAATTTTTTATTAGCCATTTAGGACAAAGTGTTTAAAAGTCTGCAAGAGGCCGGGCGCGGTGGCTCAAGCCTGTAATCCCAGCACTTTGGGAGGCTGAGACAGGTGGATCAGTAGGTCAAGAGATCGAGACCATCCTGGTCAACATGGTGAAACCCCGTCTCTACTAAAAATACAAAAAATTAGCTGGGCATGGTGGTGCGTGCCTGTAATCCCAGCTACTCAGGAGGCTGAGGCAGGAGAATTGCCTGAACCCAGGAGGCGGAGGTTGCGGTGAGCCGAGATCGCGCCATTGCACTCCAGCCTGGGTAACGAGAGCGAAACTCAGTCTCAAAAAAAAAATAAAATAAAATAAAAAATAAAAGTCTGCAAGAAGTATTGAGGTACAGCAAAAGTTTCTAAATTCCTTAGCCTAAAAAGGTTTAACCGTGCTTACATTTTGTATAGCTAATTGCTACAAGTCTGTAATTAAAATCAAGATTGCAGAAGCTCAACACATAGAAATTCATCAGTTTTGTAACCTCGTCTCTTTTTGTTTCTTAGCTTTTACATTGCTTAAAAATTTTTAAGTTTTGATAAATGCCTGCCCACCTCCATTCCCCTATGTCCTAAAGCATTTAAATTGGCCATAAGTCTTTTGGCTCTAAGTCCATTGGTCATTGGTGATCTCACCGGGGAGCAAAATTGACACAGGGTAGGCAGTAACGCCATCCCAACAATGCTATGGGATAAAATAACAGTTTGGTGGTCACTGATGTTGCCTCTGGCAAATTTGGATCAGAAGAGGGAGAATGTAACCCAAAAGTAAAATTCAAACCTCTGAACCATCTGAAAGGATCCCTTCTCTCAGCCAAAGGCTTTCCAAAGTTAATCCAAAGAACTAGTTTTGGCCATGATGGGAAGTGGAGGTTGGACATTCCTCACTATACCCTCCCCTCTGTGGAATTCAGGCACAACTCATCAGCATTAACATTAAAACAGAGATCTTAAGACCAACAAAAGAGACTTTTTGGAGGAGTAAGACCAAATTTCAGCATGACTCTAGTAGAGCATCACATGACAGATAGCAGGTGTAAGCCAAAAAAAAAATTCTAAAGCTCTCCCCAATCATCAGAATGGACTTCCTCCTAGACCAGGACACTCTGGAGTTTAACCTGAAAGATAGGGTCAGACATGCCTCACTATACCCTCCAGGATTAACCTCAACAGACCTTAAGTCTGATAAGAAACATTTACAATCTGTTATCTGTGAAGCCTGCTACCTGGAAGCTTCATCTGCATAATAAAACATTGGTTTCCACAACACTTTTTTTTTTGACATAGTCTTGCTCTGTTGCCCAGTCTAAAGTGCAGTGACAAAATTTTGGCTCACCGCAACCTCTACCTTCCAAGTTCAACTGATTCTCATGTCTCAGCCTCCCAAGGAGCTGGGATTACAGGCATGCGCCACCACATCTGGCTAATTTTTGTATTTTTAGTAGAGATGAAGTTTTGCCATGTTGGCTAGGATGGTGTCAAACTCCCAGCCTCAAGTGATCTGCCTGCCTCGGCTTCCCAATGTGCTGGAATTAGAGGCATGAGCCATGGCACCTGGCCTAACAACCCCTTAACTTATTCAGACATTCCTTTAATTCTAAATCTTTAGACAATAACAAATCATTCAACCAATTTCCAGTCAGAAAATTTTTGGATCTACCTATGAGTTGGAAACTCCTGCTTGCAGTCGTTCCACCTTTCTAGACCAAACCAGTATACATCTTACATGTATTGATGTCTTATACCTTTCTCAAGTGTATAAAACCATGTTGTGGGCTGACCACCTTTGGTACCACATTCTCAGGATCTCCTGAGGGCTGTGTCATAGGTAATTGGTTACTCATATTTCGCTCAGAACAAATCTCTTCATATATTTTACAGAGTTTGATTCTTTTTGTCAACAATAACTTGGCATCCAAACATGTGGGGCCTCAGAAAAGACTCAGAATGCTAAAAGAGTTACCTGAACTTGGAGCTAAGGTACCAGCAGGGTCCTGTTGAAAGCCTCCATGACTTTGAGCGTCTCCTCCAGTGGAACTTGTAGGTCCTCCTGAGCCCCAGATATTCATTTTATTGTTGGTCCCTGGTTTATTGAGCTCGATTTTTTTCTCCTAGGACGTTGTTTAGGATCCTAATTCTTCTAGTTCAGAGGTGCATTCTAAAGGGTCCTCTCCATTGTCTTTTTCTAAATGTAAGGAAAACAACCTCCTTTCAAGCACTTCATTTGGTTTCTAGTTTGGAAGTGCATTCTAAAGCATCTTCTCCATTGTTTCCCCCCACCAAAATAAAGCTCAATTGGTTTGTCTGCACAGTTGAATGAAGAACTGAATTGTCCTTTTCACAAATAAACAAGAAACTGAGCTCCTTTAGCTCCAAAGAGAAAAGGCATTTTGCCCCTCCCAGTTGCAAGGTGCTCCTGGATGAATGGGGCCAAGTAAGAGTGTTTGGGGCACTGACCCCCTGTGATATGCAGTGGCCCTACAGAGAACCTCCAACAAAACTAGTTTTAAAGGGCTCATTCAGGAAACATATAAGATCCAGTCACTCCACATTTTGAGCCCTTTGAGAGGTGACAGACAAAAAATTAAACCAGGCTCAACAGGGAAAAGAATGCTGAAGTATGATGTCCAGGTAGGTTGAGAAAATATCTGACAGGTTCAATACAGCAGAAAGAACATTTTGCAGTTTTCTGCTGTTCACTGTACAACTATTCACAACCTGCTTTCATTTTGCGAAAAGAATATTTTACGAACATCAACTGTTTCTTTCATTCTAGATTATAGATGAAAATGGCAGTGTTCTACCACCTGGCAAAGAAGGGGAAATTGCCCTCAGACTAAAGTCTAATGGCCCTTCTGCTTCTTCTCTGAATATGTGGTATAAGGACAGAAAGTGCTAGTCATGCCTTAATACAGACCTGGGTCCAAATTTCATTTCCACCATGTCTTGCTATGTAACCTTGAGCAAGCAACAAAATTTATTTTGTCAGCTATAACATGGGAAGACTATCACCTCTCACCCAAGTACTGTAAAGATGAAATTCCAAATGTAACGAACTGGTTGAGTGGTTATCCTCAGAAAGGAAAACTGAACAGTGTGGGATGGGGGTGGAGTTGGGGGTGCTAGAGGTAGAAGAGGGGCTTTTATAACACTTTTTGGGAACTTTTATATTTTATACTAGGAACTACCTTTTTAAAAAATTAATTTCCAGCCAGAGACAGTGGCTCACACCTATAACCACAACATTTCAGGAGGCTGAGGTGGGAAGGTGGCTTGAGCCCAAGAGTTTGAGACCAGCTGGGAAATATAGCAGGATCCCACCTCTACAAAAACATAAAACAAATGAGCCAGGTGTGGTGGTACATGTCTGTGGTCCCAGCTACTCAGGAAGCTAAGGTGACAGGAATGCTACGGCTTGGAAGGTTGAAGCTGCAGTGAGCTATGATCAAGCCATTGCACTTCAGCATGGGCAACAGAAAGAGACTCTGTCTCAAAATATAAAATAAATAATTTCTTCTGGAAGTACAATGTGCAATGTACTTGTCAATGAGTGCCATACCCACCTCTTTTCTGACCAAACCAATCCCCAAATGTCATCTTTGATTCCTAGAACAATCCAGAGAAAACTGCCGCCACATTAAGAGGAGATTTTTACATTACTGGAGACAGAGGGATGATGGACAGCGATGGGTATTTCTGGCTTGTCGGCAGAGCTGATGATAGGTTTGTACATTTGCCACTCTTAAGAGGCAAGGATCTCCTATTTGGAAGATGTAGTGACCAAAGGCTTCTTTTCCTTTTCAGGTACCAGCAGGGTGCGGTGGCTCAAGCCTGTAATCCCAGCACTTTGGGAGGCCGAGACGGGTAGATCACGAGGTCAAGAGATCGAGACCATCCTGGTCAACATGGTGAAACCCCGTCTCTACTAAAAATACAAAAAATTAGCTGGGCATGGTGGCACGTGCCTGTAATCCCAGCTACCCAGGAGGCTGAGGCAGGAGAATTGCCTAAACCCAGGTTGTGGTGAGCCGAGATCGCGCCATTGCACTCCAGCCTGGGTAACAAGAGTGAAACTCTGACTCAAAAAAAAAAAAAAAAAGAAAGAAAACCTTTTCAGATACCGTATTAGGCCATTTGAAGTGGAGAGTGCACTCGCTGAGCACCCCGCGGTTATCGAATCGGCTGTTGCCAGTAGTCCAGATCCAATCCGCAGAGGTAAGTGGTTGTCATGAATTAAAGTAGCAACTTTATATTTTCAAGTTCTGTCCATTTGACCACGGTAAAGGTTGAAACAAAAGTGGTCACTGAATTCTCACTTGGCCAAAATATAAACCAGGCAACCAACTTTATAATAAATTATGTCCCAAAAGGCAGCTATTAGGATTCTTTTGAAGGCAAGTGACAGAAACTCAACTCAAACTCCTTAAGTTTAAAAAAAAAAAAGACATTTGGCTCATATAAGTGACAAGTGTTCAAGGGTTCATCTGAGGTTGGCAAGACTCAGTCTCTCCATTTTTAGTTCTGCTGTTCTTTATGCTGGCTCCATTTGAGCAGGTTCTTCCTACTTGATAGCAAGCATCTCCAGACTTAAACAGGTTAGCAACCCTCCACCCCTCCAAAAAGGACAGAGCTGTTTTCATGTTTTCAGTCATTTCAAGTAACTCTCAGGATTGCATTTGCCTACCTTAGATCACATCTCTCACCAATGTGGTTTTCAGGGAATGGTATATGCTGATCGGTCAGACTTGAATCATATGTCTATCATTGAAGGTAAGGGTTGGTATCAATCCCATCAGACAGAAGTTAGGGTAATACTTCATAGAAAAACTATACTAGTTTCTAAAAAGAGGGAACAGATACTGTATAAGCATATGCATATTTCACTGAATAGGCAGCAGATTTCACTGAATGGACAACTGTCATGGAACTCAGAATACATTTTCTCACATAAACAAGGCAAATAAAAAATTGTGGCCAGTTTCCCAAACAAGTCTCATGAGCCTGTTTCAGACCAATGGAAAGGAAATGCTGGCAATGACAATAATAGTCTTAATTCTAGGAAGAAGCCCTATTTTCCTAATTTCCTTTCCTCATGGAAGTTTCCTACAGATAGAGCAAGTGACAAAATTTCAAAACAGTTTGTCTGTCGGCATCCTCCCCCATCGGTACCTCCCTCTCACACATCAGTGAGCCTCTGCAGTGACACTATGGGTCCCCTACTCTTATCTCCTGTACTCCCTCCACTCCCCATTTATTCCATTCTCAAAAATAGTTTCCTCCTGCCACCATGCCCTCATTCTCTCAATATAAATGATTTCAGCTCAACAGCAGAAGTAACCACCAATTATAATCGATGTATGAACAATAAATAATATAAATTATACTTGCTAACCTCAGTAATTATCTAATTGGTGGTTTTAAACAGTATTACAAAAAGAAGCAAACAATATGAGGCAAAAACGACCTTGTAGAGATAGATCAACCCTTCCTGACAGGTTTTTTGTTTTGGGGGTTTTTTGAGATGGAGACTTGCTCTGTCACTCAGGCAAAAGCAAGATTCCAGTGGTGCACTTATAGTTCACAACAAACTCAAACTGCTGGATTCAAGCGATCCTCCCACCTCAGCCTCCTGAGTCACTAGGACAACAGGTGTGTACCACTGCACCCTGGCCCAATTTTTCTTTTTAGTCTTTGTAGAGATGGGTCTCACTATGTTGACCAGGCTTGTTTCGAACTCCTGGGCTCAGCTATCCTTCTACCTTGGAGTCCCAATGTTTTGGGATTATAGGTGTAAGCCACCATGCTCGGCCCCTTCCTGAGATCTGATCTCTCAGGATACAGAGTCCTTCCTCCACTGACATTCTTCCAACTCCCTTGAAACCACATATTCTCTGGGAGCTCCATTTGTCTGCCTGTTCCATGCTTCTAATGGTATAGGTTCAATGGAGTAAGTAAGTGGTCATCTGTCAACCAAGGACTGCCTGAATTATAAATGGGATCCGTCTGAAATGCTAAATACATGTGTGACCTGTAAATAAAACTTAAGCTTTCTTCAACTGCTGCACTCCTCACACTCACAAACCATTTACCTGGAATTATTCTCAAAACCTCACTTGGTAATTGTATCCAAGCTTTGTTCAGAGGCAATCTCTGGCATTTGCAGCCATCATTCAAACTGCTATTAACAAATAGTAAGTACCTATGTTGCAGTAAGCACTGGTTGCAGATTCTTGATGTGTCTGAAAAACAAATAGAGCAAGATAAATTAACTTTTCTGTTGCAGGTAGTGAAAGCTCTTGTTCTTAGCTCTACCCTTTAAGTCCTACAACCCAGAGAAATTAACTCTTGAGTTTCAGGACCATGTAAAAAAACAACTGCACCTTACAAATATGCAGATTTCACTGAATAGGCAGCAGATTTCACTGAATGGACAACTGTCATGGAACTCAGAATACATTTTCTCACATAAACAAGGAAAATAGAAAATTGTGGCCAGTTTCCCACAAGGTATCTGCAAGATAAGTATTTTGCCCAAAAGTAAAGTTCGGATGTTACCAAACTAGGGTCTAAGATAGAATGTAGATTTTACTGGATTTTGACTTTATAGTAGCTCATTATACAAGTAGAAGATACCTTTTTTTGTTTTTAGCCCTAAGAACTTTAAAATGTTTTGTTACAACAGTACAAATACATGATAAACTAGAGCTTTTAATCAACTCTGCAATACTGAATCACTACTAAGAATCTTTCTAGAACTAATTTGTCCCATTCTGTATGACAAAAGCACAGTAGCCAAGAATTGCCAAGTGCCTTGTGTTTAGGGACAGCACTTGACTCATCTATCCCAGGACTCTTGGCCCTAATACCCCTATAAATTCAAATTAATGTTCAGAAAAAAGATAATATCCAAAGAAACCATGGAATCTTTCCTGAAATCTTCAAAGAAGGATTTAAGAACAAATCTATATAAAGACATGAAGATGGCCTTGTAGTTTCCTTCTAACAGTGGAATTGGTTGATAGTGACTGATCCTCTGCATGAGATTTCTATTTCAGCTAGCATTTCAGTCAAAAGGTAGTTGATATCAACATAAGAACTACTCACATTTTCTCCATTAAATTCACTAAATCAATGACCTTCACTTTCAGAAAGGCTATTTGAGTGCATTTTAAAATACAGTAGTAGTCTCTTTCACAGAACAGAAAGAGGATTTTTACAGTCAACTCAGGACAGACGAGAAATCTGTATATATTCCTAATTAGCCCTAAAAACTCTTCCTCAAAATCTGCAGGATCCAGCTCTGAACACAAGAAGTGTTCTTTCTACATTTAGGTGTAGTCTCCATTTTCCAGGAACAGTATAGACCTAGGACTAGTGTGAACTATGGGAAAGCAATAGGGTAAAGGGATTATTACTTTCTTGTTGCCAAGCATTTAAGTGAATTGGCACTAAAAACCTGTAAGGTGGAGCTACACTGTCACCCTTCCTATATAAACAGACCAGTTTCTGGTGTCCATGAGATTCAATGAGTTTAGGCTAAGATAATCTCAACTTTAAAATTCAGTCTCAGCATTTCAGGCAAGCTGTCTCCTATTGCACTGACAACTGGAAGGATGGAATCAAGTGTCTCTTAACATTTCTCTATCAATTAGGTGGAATTTGTTCAAGAACTCCCAAAGACAATCACTGGGAAAATCAAACACAATGTTTTAAGAGACCAAGAATGGGGACAAACAGCTTGATAAGAAAACTAAAGGGTTAAGTAGTAACATGATTGCTTTACCTCATTATTTGTTCCTGATAATTCAGTGACTACTCTTAAAAATGTTTAAAATCCTCGAAGTTTTTGTTTTGTTGACATTTTTTGTTTAAGTTTTGTTTTCTACTTAGCTAAAAAATTTCAAGTAAATAAAAGTCTAAAAATATATGGATGAAAGTTGTTCTAAGAAGCAAACTGACAAAGGTATTGATAATGTGTTTAAATTAATATGATATAGTGTTTAAGATAACAGGAATCAAATGATTACTTAGAAAAAGTACACAATGAATCTTTATTTCATTTTTGTGCCTGATTAATTCAAAATAAAGATACATCCTAAGAGAAATGTTCAAGACCATTTCTTCTGCTTAACATCTTTATAAGACCAAACTTCAAGACATTAAAATACTGTTAAAATGAGTACAAATAGGCCGGGCGTGGTGGCTCAAGCCTGTAATCCCAGCACTTTGGGAGGCCGAGGCAGGTGGATCACGAGGTCAACAGATCGAGACCATCCCGGTCAACATGGTGAAATCCCGTCTCTACTAAAAATACAAAAAATCAGCTGGGCATGGTGGCACGTGCCTGTAATCCCAGCTACCAGGAGGCTGAGACAGGAGAATTGCCTGAACCCAAGAGGCGGAGGTTGCGGTGAGCCGAGATCGCGCCATTGCACTCCAGCCTGGGTAACAAGAGCGAAACTCCATCTCAAAAAAAAAAAAAAAAAAAAAGAGTACAAATAATTCAAAACTCAGTAAGTGAATTTAAGGAAATTACATACTGTATTACTGTACCTCATTTTGGAGCAAATTAACTGTAAAATACCTGAAACTTGGATTTAGGAGTATTCATTATTTGAGGGTAATTAATATATTTATATTTTTATCTTTTTTAGGATCATGTCCATGACTTTATAATCTGACATATAAACATCTTTTATAATATACATATATATACACTATAAAGAGATTTACTAAGAAGCAGAAAGGAAGAAAAATTACAGAACACCAATTTGTAGGGATCAAATTTATTTTCATTTTTCTGAAAATATCAGGAATTATAAAAAGCAAGCTCGATATTTGGCCGTACCAAAAGCAAAATACAAGTAAAAAATAACATTGGAAAACCATGTTTAACCTTAGATAAGCATATTTTAAAATACAAAGTTTAACACTCTTTCCTCTATGGAGCTAAACAAGTTTTATAAACCACAGACTGCAGTTTTTTTGTTTTTAACTGACATAATTTTTTAAAAAGAAATAAACTAAAGGGGAATAAAAAGCACTTACTTCCTACCCTGGAACCTCATCATTTGTAAAAATAACATGTTCAAATGTCAGTGAAAATAAACAGTTGATAAACCTGAAAACAAATCTTTTAATGAGTTCAGGTTACCACTGAGCACAGGATTTTGTAGCCGGGAAAGAACTGCCTGTGTAACTACTGAGCCTTACCAAATACACATAAATATAAAAGGCAATTAAAAACAAACTATAAAATAAAAATCTTTCCATAGAGTAGCAGCTTTCACAAAGCAAAAACAACTTAGTTCCACAGAGCTGCATATGGCCAATTTTTTCCCAAGTCCTTTTGTCTTGCACTATCAAAATAAAAGATCTTTGTCTTGAAGCAAGTCTGCTGAAGAAGGCACCAAAATCCTATCCTCCCTAGTCTCCTAAATGATATTAAGAATCCTCAAGGTGGGGAATGGGCATTTAAAAAAAAAAAAAGGAATCCTCTTATCAATCCTTTCAAGGTAACTTCAACATCATTAACATTCTAAATATGTAAAGCTATAGAAGGAAAGTCCTACCTTATCTTTGCCCCTCTCAAATCATTCTAGTCTGGTTTACCAAACAGAACCACTGGTTAGGAGGATAAAAATATATTCCCATGTTCACTAGCCATTAAATAAACATAGCCACTTGTGCAGGAAGCCTAACATTTTTAATACTTCCTAACTTTTTAAAACTTAAGGATAAGCCTATTTCCACAAGCTAACTTTACAGCTCCTTAATATCCTTAATCTGGACAGTTTATTTTGCAGACTTTGTTGGTGTCTGCCTTTTTCAATTGCTTTACCCAAAAACAGGCCTTGAAAACACTTTCAAATTCAGGAAACCCCTGCAGGGAACCCTCATTGTATGTGTGAGCACTAAGTTGAAGAACCCTCTTATTTCACAGAAACCTGGGACTGTCCGACTAGGGCTGTGTTCATTCTCTTCCATCCGAGACAAAATTTCAAGCTGAGCAGATTTAGAGAAAAGGTTCTTCATATGCAGTTATATACTAGTGCTGGGAAAAGGAGAGAAAATGCTATTTAACTGGGTTTTGTGGTTCCTCCAGGTGGGTTATAGCAAGATTTAAGAGTTGCACTCTTCATTTTCAAGTCCAAGTGACTACAGAAACATTTCAAGAATTCCTCTGGCAAGGTGGCAAGTCAGTTTCCTTTTAGATCTAAGACTCTTGTCACTTTAAGAAAGAATTTTTCCCCTGAACCTTTCAGGAGACTTGTTCATTTGTTCATATGATGAAAAATGTCTACTAAATAAGCTACTTCCTGCAGTCATTTTTCATTTCCAAAGCACTCAGCAAAAGCTGTTTCCTTGTAAGTACTCTGGCATTCACCTTTCAATTCAAATATCCTGTAACGAACTCTTCCTCTGATAAGCCACTGGATGTCTGTACGGTGCAGGAAGTTTACGTGCTGTTTGTCCAGGTTTTTGTTTTGGGTGTTTTTTTTAACATTTCTGCATAAATGGGTCTTGGATACAGGTAACCAGTTTTGCAGCATTATTCAGAACATCACTATCTTCAAGTTTTTGGTATCAGCATCTCTGGGAAGAAAGCAGTATGCTATAACGTCAACATCAGGACTTTTTTTTTTTTAAATAATGCAAAATGACTTATGGAAACAACCACTGATGGGGCACCAGGAATGCAGATAACAGACTTCTGGTTATCAGATATGATGTCACAACATCATATACTGGCCTTTGTTTTGGCAGGCTCCTAACAATAGAAGAAGTTTTATTTGAATTTCATTATTTACAAATCTTACAAATGCTACAGCATGACAAATATTAGTGAAACCTGTTGACTCATCATCCTGGATAGAGAAGCTGCTCCTTTCCAGTTAATGACATAAAATCTTTTTAGTATCACATGAGATAGCATCAGTAAATCAACTTACTGAGAATAATGTCTTTTCAATTTTGTACTGCGTTTTGCCCCAGCATTTTAGTATTATTAGATTCTCACCAACTATGCATATTTTCCTTTCCTAAGTTATGCTACTAAATAATTTGCCTCCTAAACCTTTTGACTAAATGTGGTTTCTGAACAAAAGCCTTACTGTTTTGATAATCCAAAAGCCATTTGAAAATAATGAATATCCTTTCTTCTCAAGTGGCTGTGATTTATAGTTACAACTGCTAGTTTTCTATGTTGTATGCCACAGA